AAAAGCCGGAGTCTTGAGTCTCAGAGCATCAGTTTCAATTCTTCAAGTAAGTATTCCACAAAAAAAGGAAAGAAAATGAACGTGCCATTTTTCCTCATCTCTTGCAGGAAAACTATTCGGAATTGCAAAGTAAATATGAAAGATATCAGTCACAGATCATTGGACAAAAAAATGTGAAAATCGATCTATTAACCGATAAAATGAGTGACTTGAAAGAACAAAATGAGCCTGGAAGGTTAGCAAATCAATTTCGCGAAAATATTGCCAAATTTGAAGAAATTATCAAAAAATGGAGAAATGTCAAATAATCAAGAAAACACAGGAATGTGCAAGTAAAAGCTGGAGAAACTACTATTGCTAATCAGAAGCCGAAAACAAGACCCATGGGTAAGTACCCAGAAGCCAATGAATTCCAAAATCTTCAGATCTTGGTCCCAAAACCCAAAATAGAATCGAGATGCCCCAGGTAATCCTCGTTCCAGGTTCAGATCCTTTCAATGTGATTGGATTGGAACAGATTGGATGTTAGTATATTAAAAAACTAATCACGAAAATAAAATTTTTGCTGTCAATTATGAAGAATACGTAACAGGATTCGGATACGTCGATCCTGAGTATGATTTCTTCCTCGGTCTCGAAAAATTATACCTTTTGACGAATGGCAAGCCGCACGACATTTTTGTATACACCTCCTACAGTATGGAACAATGCGCCAGCTTTAGTATGGGCAGTCGGGACGAAGGATATATGCTGAAAGATACTGGGGGTGTACAGGTGAGAAACTTCTCCAACTGCTGAATGGCTTTAGACATGGCATCAAGTGTTCCACCTTTGGTCGAGATGAGGATGGAATTAACTATCGTAACATGGCGCAGGGGGGGGCTTTGGGGCTTTGGTTGGTGGTTCGATGTCAGGTGTGTAGTCTTATTTTTTATCCTCTTTTCTAATATCTCAAAGACAAAGATCTCAGAGAAGCTAATTTCGGGTATTGCCAAATGTACCTCCGGAAAAAAGATTATTTTAAATATATAGATGTAAAATAAACTCTTAATTGTTTGGAAATTTTCAATAAAATTGCCGAAAAATATATATATGTAGTTCAAAAGACAAAGGTTCTTGAACACATTGATCTTGTAAAACTATATACCATAAAAGCTCAAAGATGCACTGATCCCTTCTGACCAAAATAATGACACATTTTGCCAAAATCACGCGTAAATAAAGAAAAGATTTTTTTTTTTATTTTTCTTGCAACTCAACACGTGCAACATTTTGTGTTGCAGCAGCAACGAAGTGCAACTCAAGAGAGCCTCGTTTTATTCAAGAAAGAGACTCGCCAAGACCCCAAAAAGAGAGCAATACAATTTCGAGACACGGAAGTTACACTCAAGCGTCGCAGTTGGCAGCGCTGTCGGCGTTGCAGTCTCAAGAGAGCATTATCTGAGAAGCAGAGAAATTGCAATTCAGCGAGAAGAGAAGTGTGTGTAGTGTTTTGGCCAAAACAGAGAACGAGAGTGAGAGAATGCGAGTGCAGTGCCAAAACGAGCAAAAATCACAGTTGAAGAGAAATGAAATGAGAGCGGGAGTGTAATGAGTGCAATTGGGCAAAAAGAGAGTGGAGGACTTTGCTGACCAGCTGTTTGTTTGTGTGGGTGGCCGAAAAGAGCCTAAAAGGGGTGGGCGGGGAGGCGATTGCAAGGGGGCTGCCTGTAAAATAGTTGAGTGTGCGACGTCGACGCCAGCAGAGGCATTGAGCCGGCGCACGTGGCCCCGAAACTTCGACAACGTTCGACGTTGCAACGGATGAAGCCGCCCTACCCCACCCCCCTTCGCAGTGGCTCCCTTACAAGACCACCCACCCCCGCCCCCTTACGCATTCGCAGCCGCAGCATTTGAGCCCACTGGCCACGCCTACGCAGTGTAGGCGGTGGTGGTAAGTGGCGGGGAGTGGCGGCGGAGGGTAGCCGTGGCGGCCACGACGGCGGCAGAGAGGCATCGGTTGGGATTGGTGCGCAAAACTGGACACGACTCGACATGCATGCAAGCTCCCTCTCTCCACTTGCAACTCTCCTCTCCTCTCTTGCTCCTTTCTTTTTATTTTCGTAGTTTTCGAACATGGCGCGTAAAAAGCCGCTGTCGTCGTTGGCGCCGGCGCCGGCGTCGCTGTCGACCTTTCCTGTAAAAATTTTTGGGGATTATTGATGCGAGGGGTTCTTCCACAAAAAAAAAAAAAAAAAATTGATAAAAATAAAATAAAAATAATAAAGTGGGAAAAAAGCAAGAGTGGTAGAGTTCGAAACAGCTATTTTTGTTTTCGTCATCCCACCACCTCTCCCACAAACTGCCACTGCCATCCCTACCCCCACTTACCTTACCCACGTGAGCAAGCGCAAAAAGCAAATGAAAAAATAGTAAAAACTATTGATGAAGCACACTCGAAAGAGCGAGGGAGTTGCAGGACGAAAGGGACGGCCATAGCCGAAGAGACGGCGCAAGAGACAGGAAGCGGCCGAGGGTGAGCGAGAAAGACTGCATGCGGGTGGACATAACATAACGGCATAAATGAGGCTTTAAGCTTGTTAACGGCCAGCGCGAGCGTTGACGGCGCTGCCAGCGTTGTAGTCGGCGTTGCCAAAGTTTTTCGTATTAGTTACGAAAACTAATCACACACACACACACACATGTGTCTATAAGAGGCTGTGTGAGTGGGGGTGTGTGAGTGTCCGTGCGAGTGTGTTTGGGTGTGAAGGGGTGTAATGACCCCTGTCAAGTTAATATGCAATTTTTCCCCTTAGTTTACATTTATTTTTTGGGTTAATTACTCGCTGTTTTTGAAAGGTTCGCCTTTTATTTTTTTGTGAGGGATTTGGGGAATTATCAACGTTTTTTTTCCCCCAAGCGATGATATATAAACAAAAATTAAAACTACATGCAAGGCTAGAAAATAGTGCAAGATCTGTATTCTTATTTTTTTTTTATTTCATTTTTAATTTTTTTTTAGTAAATCAATTTTTTTAATAATATAGAGGTCAAATTAAAGAATAAATAAGTATTACCAACTACTAAGTGATAAACCATAAATTGTAAACAAATTAAACAATAAATCGAGACTACAGTGCGTATGATTGATATGTAGAATTAGGTTAAAATTACTTATACGACCGGAGTTTCAGTTTTTCTAGTTTTATTTAAATTAATTAATTAAATATATACATTTGTTATTTTAAATTTACCAAAAAATAAAAAAAGACAACAAATGTTATACAGTTTTAATTAAATTATTCATACGCCCTGTAGTCCAGCTTAAATTGTATTCAATTATATATTATATAATACAATAAAAACAAAAATAAATAAAAGATAAATATAGTTATTCATTTTTACAACATTTATATTAATACAAAAAATGAATTAAAATTCATTTTAATATAAAACTAATACTACGAATGAGTGATATAATATTGGCCCTAAAAATTAAAAAGAAGCTTTAAATTAGTTTTTGCTTTTTTACTTTTAGCTTTTACTTTTTACTTTTGGCTTTATTATTTCATTTATCTTTAAACAACTATTAAGAAACTTTCCTTAGAGCAGAACTCGCACAACAGTGCGTATGAGTAATATTATTCTAACAAAATTACTCATACGACCCGTATTACCGTTTTAAGCTAAAAATATAAGAAAGACTTCGGAATCTCATTCTAGCCCAGACATCAGTGCGTCTTATTACTCATAAGATAGTTTTATACATCTCATAAGATGGTCACGCTGCTGCACTGCTGACAATGCAACGCAACTGCGGCTCCAATGCATTATACTGCCCATATTATTAGTATGTTTTTTGTTTTATTTTTTGTTGCGTGTTTTAAGTGGTCGGCGCTGCCGCATGTCATCATCTAATTAGTGGGTCGAGGCTTGTTTGCTCAGCGCCAGAAGGCACTGCCGGCGGTGTCAATTTCGAATTGGAATCGCGCTCGGCCAGTGACCAGAATTTCGCATTATACGTCCATGTATGTATATGTTTCTGTATCTGTATCTGTATCTGTATCTTTTGTGCACTTTCGTCCTGAAAAGACCGCCAAAAATGTTCCTGAAAAATAAGACAACCAAGCTACAAAAATAGCTATTAAAACTACAATATATTTTATTTATTATTTATTTTATTTTATTCTCTCATTTGAATATGATTTTAAAGATTTTTTTAGATTTTTAAATTTTTAAAAATGTGGAACACATCTCCCTCCCTATCTTTATAAATAATATATTTTCTTTATCTCCTACTGTTTTTTATGTATTCTTTATTAATTTTTATGTTTTATATATATTTTATTTCCTTTTTAATTTAAAAAACTTTTTAATTTATTTAGTTCTATTAAACGCATATACACAACAATATTTTATAATGTCGAATCGTGCAGTCTAATCGTAAAAGTCGTCTTAGAATCGCTCTTTTCTTTTTTAATCCTTTCTTCGGATCATTATAGAAAACGAAATGAAGAACCCATTTCTATCAAATAAAAATATAATTAAAATAAGTCATTTTGTTATTAGTTATTTAAAATGTTTCCATTTGGGGATAAAAGTAAGGTTAAACTAGAGTACATACCCATGATTGAACCAGAATCCAAAGCCCAGTCTCTTTGCCAAATTATAATAGGGATATCCATCCTCATCTCGATCCCAGGTGGAAAACTTGACTTGCCTAAGGTTCGGCAATATGAGTCCTGTACACCCTTTGTTAGCTTTCACCATGTAGCCTTCGTTTCGATTCCCAACGACAAAGTTGTCGCATTTGTAAAGATTCATTATTAACTCATAAGAGTTTCTAGATGTCAGGAGGTGCAATCGTTCGAGTCCAATAAAGTATTTATCGTCCCCCTGCGTCCCGACATCTCCGAATCCTCTTTCAAATTCCTCATACGTGCGATTAAAATAATTTGGTTTATCCAGATGGTTATAAACAATCATCCAACCAGAACCAATCTCCTTATCTGAGAAACAGACTACTTTAAACGGATCGGAACCAGGAATTTGGATTTCTTGGACGATCCTAGTTTCATTTTGGCTTTGCGGACACCGATCTGGAATAGCTAAGGTATTCGATGTTTTATTTTTCACATTCTTGGGTTCTGCCAACTTACCTTTGGAGGGTGGAGGTAGTTGCTGGACTGTCCTGGTTGGTGATGGACTGGCTGTTCTATTAACCGAATTTATATTCTTTACTATTTCGCCCAATTTGGCAATGTCGTCGCGAAGTATTTTTGTAGCAAGTTCATTTGTTTTATTTAATTCACTAATTTGATCTTTTAGTAATTTGATCTCCACATTTTTTGAATCTATTTGAGCTTGTAGATTTTCGACTTCAATCACCCTATTTTGCAAGTCCGATATATCCTTTTGCAAGTCCGATATATCCTTTTGCAAGGCCGATTTATCCTTTTGCAGCTGTGATATAAGTTCCAGTTCTCTTCTCTGCAATTCCGAATGGCTTTCCTGCAAATCTGAATACTTTTTCTGCAAATCGGAGTAGTTTTTCTGGAACTGAGATATCTGGCCATTATGTTCCTGACCCTTTTTCTCCAAGTCCGTGTTCTTTTTCTTCAACTCTGAGTAGTCCTTTTGGAATTGGAATTCTTTGGCCTGAATCTTCTCAAAGTACCTCAGGAGGGGCTTCACGATCGGATGACAGACCGCCGCGCAGTCGTCCTCCTGCTCTTCAGTGAGATAACAAGACTGTGAAATAGAATTTAAATTAATTTTTGAAATAAAAACACTCGAAGCGGGTATTACTTCCTCCGATCCCAGGGCGACGGTAATAAAAAAAGTCACAGAGATGAGCACCACGGAAAGGATCTTCATTTTCTATTTGTGTGGCTACTGAAGGAAGTCTTCTGAAAGAACCACTAAATAATTTGAACTGATTCTGCCAGACTCTTGGCTCCAGGTTTTTAAAGCATCCCAGAGCTTGAGATGAGCTTGAGCTTGTGGGTTCTGATAAGATAAGACTTTCCTCGAAACGGGGACATTAAGTTCAGAACTATTAGGGGTTCTTCTAGAGTAAACATTTGAAAAAATTAAAAATTAATTGTTTTATTTAATAGGTTAGATGTTCAACAATATCTCTTTAAAAAAATTTTAAAAAATTTTCATTTTTTTTCGAATTGTTTTTTAGTTGTAGCGGACGGCTAGAAACACGCATTTCTCGACACTAATTTTGGCAAAAATATTCCTAAAATATTTCCCAATCGCACAAAGCACAAACATTATAAATTTACAATTTCTTTATCCAAAAAATTAACAAATTGGAAAAAATAATGTGGAAAAACAAACAATGTGGAAATATAAAAATCGTATATTTTAATGAATTCTTAAAACTGCTTGAAATATGTTTAAGCCCCTAAACTAGAACACCCCCTTAAAAGACGATTGAAAAATTTCGAATGGGATGTCAAGGGTCAGAAAATATTTGGTTAGCAACAAGAACTATATATACATATATAAATATATATAAATATATATAAATATATATATGACTAAACTAATATTACCAGGTTTTGGTTTCTAATAAAATATTTTCTGATCTTTGACATCCCATCCGGAATAATATATATACATATATTCCCCAAATTAAAAGAGCATTTTAAATGAAATTAAATGACGTCATAGTCGTCATTTGCCTTATCTGCAACAATTAAAAATATATGTATTTGCTTATTAATTAAATATGTATAGAGTATTTATAAAAATATGAAACTAAAAAAAAATATATACACATAAATAACTCAGACTAAAATGTAATAAACATATAAATATATATTCATTAGTATGAATATTACTTATATATTAGTTAGTTATAGTTATATTAGTTATAGTATGAATCGTTAGCTGAAATATTAGTTAATATTTCTGAGGTAGTGGTGGAGCCAGTAATACCTTTTCTTTTATTCTCATTCATCCAACTTTATATATTTGTATATTTATATTATTATTTATTATTATTTAATATTTAAATAATTGAAAAGATGCCTAGAATTTGGCCGAGTTTTGAATTCGAAAAATAGTAATAATTGAAATAAAAAATCCTTCGTCCTTGTTCTAGTTTTATATGTAATTACTCACACGTCCCCATAGTCCATGGCTTTATAATGTTCCCCTTGAGCCCTGAAAAACCTCACCTGTTCCGAGCACAACTGTACCTGAGTCTGGGCATCCTCTTGGCACGTAGTGTGTATCGAATGCCTTTCGGTTCAAATTCGTCGCGACGTGGCAATCGCTCTAAACAAACACAAAATGCAATAAATTCTCCAATTCAGATTCGAGTGTGGGCGCCATCGATTATGGGCCCAAAAATTCACAGACGGACGTGGGACAAAAAGAGCCGGACTCCGGAGTATGGACACCAGACCAGACCCACCAACCGTACTCACAAACCAACTCCGGGCATGTCCACCTTTTTGCATATGTGTTTCGTGGGCCGTAGTCGCAAGAACACAGCCAATGGATACGCATCGATACGGTTACCAATATACCGGACCCGGCCCAGACTGCCAAAGGTGTGGGCGGAGTAAAAACTCCGGCAACCGAAAACTGAAAAACCGAAAACCGTAACCGAATCGGATTCCGAATCTGTATATGAATCCGAAAGCCCCTTACTGAACCGGGCACGGGGTCCGGGTCCGGGTTCCACCTTTTGCTTCTCCAACCCTTCGTGTCTCTGTCCGGCCACCTCTTCGTCCGGCTTTTTCCTTTTGTTAATTAAGTTTCGTTTGTTTTGCGAGCGCCCTCAGACCGCACAGTTGTCGTATTTGAACTTTTGGCCAGGACACGCCAGGATGCGCCGGGACGAGCTCAGAAATACTATTAAATCATTGAGAAAAATAAATAGAGTAATTATCAGTTTTATATTTGGGGTATTACGGGAAATAACTGTACAATATTTATATTATTTATTCGTCTTCAAGTTTTTAAGAAATAGATATCTAAGCTTGAGCTGAGAGTTTTTATAGTTTTCTGGGATTTTTATATTCTTAATATTTGTAAGGGATTTTTTGATGAATTTTTCATTGCGTTGGAACTAAAAATTAATTTTTTTTATAATTTTTTTAGATTTTTTTGATTAATTCTTGGAGTTCTAGACGTAAATCCCAACAAAATATATTTAAGCCCATGAAATATATTAAAATATATGTCTAAAAAAAAAATATATAACCTTAAGTATACTTTCAATAATATTACAAAATAATATTCTCTACAAATATTAATAAAATATTTGTTTTACAATTATGTTTGATTTAATTATAAAAACCCTAGGTTTTAAGGAATTTTAATGTAAAAAGAAGAACACATTATGAAAATAGGTAATAATATTTATTTAAAGTATTATTAATTTTCTAATATGTAAAGATTTATGATCTTCTATTTTTTACAGTGCATAAAAATATATGAATGAGGTAAAAGAGATTTTATTTAACTCCTGGCAGGTGAGTGAAATTTTACTTTATTTGAAAATAAACAGCAAAAAAAAGTACATAAAATGCGGGTGTTTTTTGGGCAAATTCCAAACCAAACAGTTTGGTTTGGTTCGTTAATGCTTATACGGGGTTTTTAAAAATATTGGCTAAAGAAAATCCATGATCATCTAATTGTAGAAACCAGAAGCCCCTTCGGGCTCCGCCCTAGTCCCACTCCAAAATAGATTGATTTTTACCAATAAAACTTTGGCGAAAAAAAAAAACGGTGGTCAAAAGCAGTGCCAGATGGAGAGAGAGTTGGCCAAGAGGGCAGGTTACTTTAATTAATAACTTGTCAGTGTGCAAATGACATGGGAGGAAGCTACCAGTTACCAGTTACCAGCTACCAGCGACCAACTACCAACTGAGCGCCCTTGGGCAGAGCAATCTGAGCCAGGCCAACGTCATTCGGCTGCGTTCTGGCCAACATCTTCGTTTGCCAAGGCAAAGGTGGCTAAAAGCTGGGGTGATCCCCAGCCCCCTCGGGGGCTAATGGCAGGGGAAAGTGGTTCAACAGTGTTGCCAAAGTTGCAGTTGTAATTTAGTGGCCTTCGATTCAATGTTGTCTTGCTTCTGAGGAAGTAATAAATTATAAGAGACAAGCACTTTTGATTCCTTTATTAATTCTTGTGGTATATAATATAACTTTTTTTATAAAAAAAGGTACGATCTAATAAGTGAGTAGAACTCTAGTAGTTCCAAAGATATGGTCACACTACCTGTTATTTGATGCTTTCTGACTAGCAGGCTCTTTCTTTATTTTAAGATGCTCTTTCTTATTAATCTTATCATTATCATAATTATCATTATCATATTAATCTTATCATTCACGCCCCATAAAATATAATTTTATAATAAAACACAGTGTGACCTAATAAATAAAGAATGCCATCGTACATCTGGTCACACATTTTTTGCCTGTTGAACTGGCAAAGTTCATCTCTATAAGGTCAAGCCAGCTGAAGTGGAATAGAAATATATAAAATAGACTTGGCTAAAATAAATAAAAGGGCAAGATATCATGATCTCCCCACTAACCCCCTACCAGACTCCCTCCCATTTCCCTGAAATTTCCCATTTTCATCTCCATGCAGTCATGTTGACCTAATTTTTTAACCCTCTGTCGTTTGTTTGTCTGTCTGTTTGTTTGCTTCAAAATGGGTTAAAAGTTCCTCCCACCCCCCCTAGCTTAGGGGTTAAGTTAAGTAAGGCAAACTTAGTTTGTGCGCCCCCTTGTTACCGCAGACCCTGGACTTTTCTCTGACCCCCACGCAAAATGTCACATAATGACGCAGCGTTAAAATGGCAAAAAAAAAAATATATATATGTATATAGATATGTATGTATATATAAGAAGAGTGGCGACGTTGGGGGAAAGAATGTCAGTATCTTTCAAGGATTCGCATCCTGGCACCACCCGCCCTGCCCTCTTTTTTCTGGTTTTGGCTTTGCTGTGACAAATACATGGGACCAATGTGTAATTTAATAGAAAAAGTTAAATTAGACCCACTAACTGGGCTGTTTTCAATTGATTGCCACGCTATATTTTTTATAATGTATCAAAAAAATTATTGTCCAATATATATTAATATATTATAATATATTAATAAAATATGTATATATTTTGTTTTTTTTTTTAACATTTCTGGACCATGACTAACGAACAAGTTACATGTTTGAGAAACCCAATCGGAGGGGGCGAAAGCAAGTGATATAAGGCCTGGGTCCGCTATTGACGTGACCAATCGGGAAAATCTATCGATGGGAAAAGGAAAACCGAGAAGGTAGTTCTCGCAACAGGACACCAAAGGTGATGCAATCAGTTATGCCACAATTGAACAATCCTGGAGTGATTTAGAACTTTTGCCTTGGATTGACGCACTTTGCAGGTAACAGGACTCTGACGTTTTTTTTTTTACAAAATATTTATAAACTAAGAATATTTGAAGAATGAATCGACTTTGGTTTTGAGGATTATGCACAATTACTACTCAGAGAGTTGGAAGAACAGGGTATTATTAAGACCCAATTATCAATATTCTTTATTATAATAAGATACATATAATAGTAAAGCTGTTAAAATTCTTAAGTAAAAAGATCCCAACATATCTTAATCTTTATATGCTATTTATTAGAAGTACGGGGTATCATAAACTTATTAAAATAAAACTGGATAGTTCAATGAATTTTGTTGAATTCTTTTGAGAGACCTTGTCCTTAAGTATACAGTTTATTATAAACCAAGGAAATTAAAGGATAAGCAATATAAGTACCGGGTTTCTTACAAAATACTTGCCAAGTTACATGTCATCAAATAGTTAGGTCGTTTAATACTTCCCTATTTTTCGATTGGTATCGAAATCATCTTAAATAACAGGTACCACATAGTCGGACAACTTTTTCCCATCGTTCCCATTTGTA